CATCCATTATAGAAACTGAACAGAAAGGAATGAAGCAGAGCCGGACTTACTTTGTTATTTACATTCCTTTCCCACTTTTCCTCTGAAAACCAACCCATTTTAAAGAGGAACATGGGGGCCGAGGATATAGCTCAGTGGCACAAGCACCTGCCTAGCAAGGGCAAGGTCCCAAGTTCAATTCCCAGTACCCAAAAAAAAAAGAGGAACATGGACAGTCATATAATATGCTTGCAATGAAATTAGGAAGTTTGTTTTTTTTTTGTTTTTTTTTTTTGGTTTTTTTTTTTGGTTTTTCTCCGGTACCGGGAACCGATGAAATTAGGAAGTTTGGATTTGGTTCAAATCTTGTTCCCACGTGTCTTTAGTTACCCAGCTTTTCAAGATTACTGTTGGGTCGGGGATATCGCTTAGAGGCACAAGCACCTGCCTAGTAAGCGCAAGATCCTGAGTTCGATTCCCAGTATCCCCCCCAAAAGAAAAGATTACTGTTTACTCAGTTGTTCAAGATTTCTAAAGCACTATTTAACAGAATGGCTTACATAATAGGAAGCAAATGATTTTATAAAAAGGTAAATGCTAAAGTCTGTGCCTGATGCCTCCCTGATCTTCTCATGGCCAGGTGGTTGGTGCCATCTGCTGCTCTTCCACTCTGTTGTCTCCCTTCATGGTGTCTTACCTCCTTTATTTAATCAGTGCTCTCTTAAAACATTTTCTTTCTCTTTTTGAGACAGGGTCTCGCTAGGCAGTTCAGTTCTGACCTTGAGCTCACTTTGTAGCCCAGGCTGGTCTCAAACTTGCAATAATTCTCCTGCCTCAGCCTCCTGAGTGCTGGGAGTACAGGTGTGCGCCACCACGTCCCGCTAAAATATGAAAAATTTTAAAAATAAATGTTAACATGGAAATCTTAAAAGTACCCCGTTGTTGTATGTAATAGACATTTACAGCTGCTATACCACAAATTAGCTGTATTAAAATTTTTATTCCACTTTAGGGTTTCCCTTAAAGAACTGTAATATGACATCTCATCTTCCAATTAGTGCCTTTTTTGCATTATTATAATCAAAGACCCCCTGAGAATTGGTCCAGGCTGCTAGACAGGGACAGTCATGCTGTACCACTGGTGGTTCAGACCAGTGGGAACGACCAAGGGCATGATCAAATCAGAGCTCCCCAGCACTAGGAATGAACCACAGCCCCCATCTGAAATTCAAGCAAAATGCAAATAAAAACCACAATGAGAGCTGGGTATGTTGGTGCACACCTGTAATCCCAGTACTTGGGAGGCTGAGGCAGAAGGATCACCTGAGTTTGAGGCCACTCTGAGCTACATAGTGATTTCAAGAATAGACTAGTGAAACCTGGTCTGAAAAAAAATTTTAAAAGATATATTATGTACAGGTACAAAGTGCTATGATGAATGTGGTCAATATGAATGACAAATATGTATAAATAAAAAAAATTCTGGCCTGCCTGGTCACTTTAGTGATTTAGCAAAACCCTGTCTCAAAACAACAACAACAAAAAAAAACAAGTTTGGTAGTGCATGCCTGTAATCTCAGCACTTA